GATTTGAATGTTTGACGAAGTAAATTTGGTATATTTTGATACCGGAGATCAAGTCAAATCAATATTGGTCTGTTTTAGAAATTTAAAAGGTATTTAATTATATGATCGTAATTGATATTAAACATTATATGTTTGATATTAAAAGGTTAAAAAAAAGTTTCAATATATAGAAATGTAATGTGATTTTATATTTTTAGATTTAGGACAGAAATGGTTGTGCACCACTTCGCACGTCCAAGATTCCTTCACAAACAGTCTATTGGTAACTTTAATAAATAAAATACTTGCAACATACGTAATTAAACGACTAGGGTTTAAGTTTAACTGGAACAAGTCGATCGATTATCTTCCGATACCGAATTGCTTCTGAACAGACCTCTAGGCGGGGTCTCTTTAGCGTATAAAACATTGACGAAAAATCTAATCAATTTAAGCAGAATGCTCGTTCAACAAGGCCTAGATAAATGAAGAAGAAAAAAAAACCGATAATGAAATTCGACCCATGTGCCGAATCGACCACACCATTAATAAAGAGGATCAATTTATTTAACTGTTTTAAACCACATAATTCTTAATAAATGGGGACTTAGGTATCGAATAGGTTAATGATCTTCATGGTACTGTATATAGCCGGTTCAATTATTCAACTAAGTTTTTAAGAGTATGCTATTTAAAGTGCCCAATAAGTTGTTAGACTTTCCTTTTCGTGTCGGCAAAATTGATCTTTCATCCTCTTTCAAATAAATAAAACTAGAGGACAAAACAAGGGAGAGCCCCTACATTTTGTTTGGTATAAACAACAAGGAAGATTTGATAAAAAGAAAATATAAAAATAAATAAGAGGGAAGATAATACATTATACAGTAGCGAAGTCAGAATTCCATCATTTGGGCTCGAATACGCTAAATTATGGCTCTCCATTGATAAGGTTAAATTTCGAAAAAAAGTCCCTCAGGTTTGGGTAATTGCATCATACTATGTCATCGTGTTTCAAAATACAGAGCACGAATGAGATTCACAGGACAACTGGAGATACATACACATATATCGAAGTTTCACTTATTACACTCAAGCTGACGTATCCAAGATTCATGTCGTGTATATCCATACATGAGAT